CTGGACAACCAGGGGATGAAGCACAGCCAGCATGCAACTTCTGGGGCAAAGGCAGCAGGGCGAAGAGCTCCGAGCCCACAGCAGGCCAGCTAGCTTTTGCCCTCATCCTGCTTGGCTCGGCTCCGGGTAAAAGTGTCCCAGGGCTTAAAAATGGTGGTGACAATGCTTGAACTAAAGCTCATGCTTGAACTAAAGCCCAGCCCCAGGGTCCCATTCATCCTTCACCCATTTGCCCTGCCCCTGCCCAGCTCCCTCCCTTACCAGGTGGGCCTCAATTTGTCCCCCACCTCATGACCCTTCCCCTCCACAAACCTACCTGCAGGGTGCTGCTCTCTACGCTGCCTAGCTGTATTCCTGTAAATTGGTTATCAGATTGGTATTGGCCAATATGCCTGGTGTATAATCAGCTATTGGTATCAGTCAAGAAAATCTTTGTCAGTGCACCCCTAAGTATTGGGTGTCCTCTTAGGGAAGCAAAGTGCCCATAGCTGTTTTCTTTGTCCAAGTTTCTGCAGTGCCAAGGTTTTTCCTTCATTTGAGAGAAGTCCATAAAGGTGCAAATAAACCTTACAGACATGGGAGGAAAATAGCATAGCTCTGCTCAGGAATGTTTCCAGTGACCGAAACTTTCATGTTCAGGTACTTGATTTCTGCTAGCCTCAGACTTGACCTATCAGCCAGTCTAAGCAGGGTCCATATGCCACCTGAAGATTAATGCATTACAGAACCATCTGTTCTACTGTGCTCCAGCAGCCAGTGTTAATCTTTTCTGTGGTCCACAGTGAGAAGGAATCACAGCAATGTGAAGCCTAGGGGGAGAGAGAGAGAGAGAGAGAGAGAGAGAGAGAGAGAGAGAGAGAGGAAGGGAGACAAAAAACCTTCATGAAGGTGCAGGTTTGGTTGCCTAGTGATGTCATGATGACTTCAGTTTTCACTGAGACTTGGGACCAAAGAAAGAAGGAAAATGAGATGTGTAAGGGTCCTTGATTGAGCTGTGCCCAGGCAAACTGAAAAGCTCCTGCTACCAGCATATTATGCTAGTGAGGGGGCAGTCAACAAGCTGATACCCAGTCAAGAAGCTGTGTGTGTTTACATGGCATGCCATACTTGCATTGAGAATCTTAGAGCTGAAGCCTATAAAGATGTCATCTTCCTTGATTTAGTCCCATATAAACTGCAGTTATTTTTCTTTAGAGACTTGCAAATTATGGAAGCATAAACTATGCTAATGACCCGACAAGGACACATTTGGATGCTTTCCCAAGAAGTAACAATGTGCATAAAGCACTTGCCTGGTTTTGGGTGATGCAGTGGAAACCAGATCAATTTGTTGTATTCATTTGACTTTCTTCTTTCTCACACCCCCAACCCAAATCTCTATGTCCTTCTGGACTGAAAATCATTTCCTCTCAGGCTTACTGCAGTGGCAAAGGCTTTGCAGATATTAAGTTATCCTGGGAATGGATGCAAACAAGGAGGTCAGTGTGGGGGCGGGGAGGGGAGTTTCCCTTTCCTCCCATTGGTAGTTCCTTTAAGTTTGCATTGCCTTTCCTTGTTTTAGAAATTGATTTCCTCAGACCCTGTCCCTGATGACCTGGTTCATTTACACAATGTATGCTTTTCCCAGCATAAACTGGAGTTTGGGGGTGTTCTGTGTGGATAGAATTTCAGCTCCCTGTGGCAGGGAACAGGTGGAAGTGCTCCTTGGTGCATGTTACAGTATCATCACATGCTACATGTCTGGCAGCCCCCAGCTGTCAGAGTTATGATGTAATGATAAGCAGTCCTGATCTTTCATCATAGTAAATAGCAATGAGGACTGGGCTGTCCTGTGGAGTGATCAGGATTACTCTGGTCCTTTTGAATAAAATGTGCTTTAAGACATCCAACTGCAAAGTTGTACATTTTAGACAAGCAGTGCAGGCTAAGCCTGTGGAATGGGAGACTATCCTGAAAAGCAGTAGCTGAAAAAGGTGTAGTGATCACGTTAGGCAAACAGCTGAAGGTGAGCTTCCAGGGTGCCAATGTGGCAAATAAAACTGATGCAGTCTGCTAATCCAGAAGGGTAGTAAGTAGAAGAGGGGATTAATTTTACCACCATCTGTGCCATTGGTGTGGCCATTGCTAGAACAGTGTGTACCATTCTGGTGTTCACATTCTAAAGGGGATAATGGAAGATTAGAGATGGGGCAGTAGAGCGTCACAAAAATGAATTGTGGATTGTACAATATACATCACAGTAGGTGCATCTACATGAGACATTTACTGCACAGATGGCCTAATAACACTGCGTAGTAATGTGCCAGTCAAATCCTGCTAATACGCTACTGTGCAGTGTTATTAGGCTATTGCACAGTAAGTGTCACAAAAAACATGCGCCGGTGCTACTGCGCAGTAACTGTAGTTACTGTGCATTGAGTTAGTACTTCATTAGCCAAGTACTAAACTAAATGCACAGTAACTACTATACATTAATGAATGTGTAGACGTGCCCAGTGAGAAACTAAAGTGCTCAGTGTGTTGATCAAAAAGAAGATTAAGCGTTCACTTGATTCTGATGTATAAATACCTGCTTAGCAAGACAATACCAAGTAAAAAGGGGCCTTTAGCAGAGATCAAACAAACAGTAGTGGCTGGAGACTGGAAAAAAGGCTAATTCAAATTAGAAATAAGGCTCAAATGTTATCAAGTAAATAGCCATTGGAACCAACCACCAAGTACTGGTATTTCCATCTCTTGATATCTTCAGATCCAGATTGGATGCCTTTCTGGAAGATGTGTTTTAGCTAACCCAGGTTTGAGGGCTTAGTACAAAAGTGAGTAGATTAAATCATAATTGCCTGTGCTCTACAAAGGTCAGACTTAGATGACCCTATGGTTTCTTCCATCCTGAAACTCTTGGAAACTACCAAAGGAGATAATGAGGGCTAAAGGTACAGAGCAGGAGAATGGGAGTCAGGTGGCCTGATTTGTACCAACGTGGTGACACTGGACAACTCACTTCCCCTTACAGTGCTTCAGTTTCTCTACCTACTCAACAGAGATGATGCTTGTCAGTGAAGTTAATAGTTTCTCCCAAGAACCACAGTTATATTCTTTCCTTTTCTTTCCTGCTTAAAGAACGCTGTGACAAATGTGCTGGGCATTGCTGTGCTCTTCAGAAGACTTGCTTCTCTTGGGATATGTTGGGGGAAAGGAGTGCCAGAAGGAATGAGATGTAGGGGGACAGTGCATGTCACCTTGCAAAAATATCATGAATGGGTTGCATTCATAAGAATGCACCAGGATTGATCCAGCCAGGAGGTTTTGTGGAATTTTCTAAGAGAAACCTACAGCCCCACTTACCCTCTTGATTAGTCCCTGGGAGCCCTAACAGATAGTTCTCTACAGGTGTAGGATATCACCTATGACTGATTAAGCATTTCATATCATAATCTGATTTGGTACATGTGGGAATGCGTGCTCAGCTCGTATCCAAATATAACCTCATCTGATACCTCTAAAATCCCAGACACCAATCAGAGGCAAGGCATGGGCCAGAAACCTGGTAGGCAGAAAGAGAAATATGGAGATAAGTCAAAGTATGAGTATAAGGGTAGAAATTGTTCATCTGACTGGGATTTTTTTCTGCTTCCATATGATACAAATTTTATGGTGCAAGAAAGTAATCTTGAGGCCAGACTAGTCTGGAGCTTTAATGGGATAGTCTGGCATGCCGTGTTTAGATGGTGACTAAATCATTGAGATGTTCCACTACTGTCCCAGGGCTGTGTCCCTGTGTAACGTGAAGACTTCCTGGAATAGGACTTCTGTGTCAAGTTTGGAAAAATGGTCCAGGATCAGCAGCAGGCAGTATCCCAGTCAGGGCCAGCATCCACAAACTGCACAGGGACCTGAGCTAGTCTGGCAGGCTGCATTAATATCCCTGAAACTGACTAGCCATCAAGTTCATGGCTGCTTTTAGTATGGGTGTCTAGAAAGAAGGGGCCCAGTACTGGCCACAAAGACAAAACCCTGTCCTTGGCACTGTTGCATCTGCTGCACATGGCGTCATGAGAATGCAGCTGTGCTGCTTCTGGGTTGAGAAGCCATGAGGTGCCTTCTGAAGGGGAAACTGTACAGCTGGATTTATGCAGTGCTGAGCCTAGGTGATCTCATTAGCTCTGCCCCTCACTACTACATAGCAACAACTGGACTGATTAGCTTGGCTGAGAGGCAGAGCTAATTAGCATATGCAGAGCAATGCGTGAATGCAACTGTGTTGCTCCTTCTAGCGAATTGGCCTGTCTGTACCACCACACTGTAACAGCTACCCTAATTAGAATCAGTAGTGCTATGAACTGCTTATGGTTTCAGAGGTCTGGGGGGTGTCTGAGACTGTGCACCAGGATTTTCTCTCTGCAAATTGGTCACTTTTGCAGTGGTAGTAGTGATGTCACCATGCTTCTAATGGTCTTTACTTCGGATGTGGCAGCAGCCTCCTCAGATTGGTACCTGTGGCTGACATGGTTCATGCCAGCTGTAAGTGTGCTGCTGTTGAAGCTCCAAGGGGTTTCCCACTTGCCATCTGTTTCTCCCCCACTTCTCATCAGAAATTGTGATTTCTCATTTCATCTCATATGTGACAGTAAATCTTGGGCTTCGTATCTCCCAGGGCTGAGTTCACAGTTGTGTGTTTCTTCAGAAGCAGTGGTTAGTAGTATTAGCCTAAGCTCCTCAAAGTAATGCATCTGATGATGAGCTTTCAGGGCAAAGGTGGAAGTCCAGACTCTTAAAAATATAACCCACAGATCTGCAGGTAATGACATTTCTAGCCTGCAGATATGACTGAATAGGACCTACCTGATATATTGGGCTCTAAGGAAATGTGGCATATTGGTTAGAGTTGGCCTGTGTGAAGGAAACCCTTCTCAACTGAGGCCGCCAGGTTTACACATGACATTTCTCATCTCCACTTTGATTTTGGTTGATAACAATGTTGTTGTCTTTGTCTCCATCAGGGTGAAAAGGCCAAGTGGCATGAACAGCCTCCTGGGGAAGATTGGCTCCAAAAAGCAGAAGATGAACACCCTGGAAAAATCCAGACTGGACTGGGAGAATTTCAAGGAGGAGCAGGGGATTGGGGACGAGTTGGCTATCCACAACCGAGGGAAAGAAGGGTAAGGTTGGGTTTTATGTAACAACAGTCCAGTATTTTACACTCCTTCCCAGGCACCCAAGAAATCCCAACCCCCAACATGCTGGGAGGCTATTGAGGGTCTAGTGTGGGTGCATGCCAGAAATTTGTTACAGTACAGATGAGGAGTGGTACAGTCTGCAGCAGCCCTGATCAGGCTGAAATCTTCCACAGTCTGTTCAGATGGTCAGCAGAATTTTCATGGCCACCTGAAATGACTGTGACTGCTCTAGCAGCCCTCCAGATCAAGGAGCAAATGCCATTTGACTATGTCCTATCTAATAAAGGGTTATGGTGGTCCTGATCCTGCTTTTGTTTCCATATCCCAAACTGATCCATACATTTTTCTATCCTGTGGTGATGTCTTACAGCCTCCTCAGTCTTTCCTTCTGCTCAGTACAGATGCATACAAATAGAGAACAGCTGTCAAAGTGCGTTGCAGTTTATGACAGCATTGTGTATTGATTGTGCATACCAAGTAATGTTCGCTCCAGTGAAGTTAATATAGGCATTAAAATAAGTAGTGATGCTGTATGTAAAGTAGGGAGTTAATAACATGCACCATGGGAAAGGGAAATCAGATCAGGAGTGGCATCTCCACTGGGTGCTTCTCTGTGCTATAAGAAAAGATAACCAGGTTAGCGGACAGCTTATAAAATGTAACTTTCTTCTAAGCTGTTCTTTCATTCTGCCTGCAGAAACTGACAGCCTCTATGTTCCTCAAATTTGATTTTCATTTCAAATAGATATTTTATTACACCTGTATTTTCACTGTTCACCCTGTACCTTGTCATTAGTCTTCCCCATTAGATCTGTACTGCCACCTTTTGACACTCAAGGTGTAGGGGAGGACATCTGATGAACAGTGCAGTGTGATGAGGAGTTCGAGACCAGGTTTTCAGTGCTAGGGCCTCTGTTGTTGTAAATCAGCATAGCCTTACTGAAGTCAAAGGAGTTGCTCCCACTGCAGATCTAGTTCTCTTTGTTATGATGCTTTTTGATCAGACGCTGACCACTTTAGCCTAGAATGAGGAAGTGGCCTCTGTGGGAACTGACAAATCACCACAAATACAATTCATGTCTCCAGCCCAGCACGATAATATTTCTGTTAGTGAAAAGAGCTAGACTTCTCTAGGGCAGAGCCATTCCTAGCAAGGTTCCCATATAGCTTGTGCCAGTTACCAATACCATTGGGAGGCTGCAAATAAAAGTGTGCCAAACAGCCTTGCCTCTCCAATGAAAGTCCCCAGAATGGGTGGAGGATGAGCTATGTAGTGCAAGTTTCATCCATACAGGACCCACCAAACTGCATAAGCTTTGGCCTGGCTTTTGGCCTCCTTGTTGTTTCCCCCATTTGTCTGTAGTAGTGGGGGCCAGATAAAAACCCAGCTGAGTTCTTACTCATTGCACAGAGTGAGCAGCCATTAGGTCTGCCAGTCGCTTTAGGCCACTACATAGCTAGGCTGGATTCAAACTCATGATATCAAATGAAAAGTTCTGTGACCTTCTACCAGTCATGAGCTGGTGATTCTTCTTCCCTGAAACTTCATCCATAGTAGATGTGGGTGCAACTCTGTTGACTTCAGCGAACTGTACCTGTACTCTGTTGGAGCCCTGCTGTATTAGTCTAATTGCACTAGCTGTATAAGCTGAACCAGATGGGGCTGCTTGACTTTACAGAAAGTCACAGAGATTCTGCAGCCTCTTTCACTACCCTGTCCTATTCAGTTATATTTACACTTGGGCTATGAGCTGAAATGCCCGGCTTTCTTGGAAGAGGCTGAGTCCTTGCCCTGACCCACATTCAAAAATACTTCAGTCATTCTGAATATCCATACTTCACAAATTGCTGGCAGCCTTCTCCAGTGGAACTAATGACCCACTCCCTGAGGACTGGAGAAGAGATCGGTACTTAGAGAAGATGAGCAAATCACACTAGGATTTTAAGAGCATTTGCGAGCTTCAGTAGCATTAGCTTTTTCTGCTCTGTCAAATCTCAGGTCAAAGTCCACTGGGACATTGGCAAGTGGTTATGTTATTAAACAGAAGAGAAATATGGTGCCATGAAAACATCAAACTCCTCTTAAATACATGTCTAATCTAGTCAAGTATATAACATCAGGGAATCACCTTTAACCATACCAACCTTTGACGTAAAAAGCAGAAAGGAAAACTGAAATACTGTAAGTCCACCCACACTAGTGATCAGAAGCTGCTAATGGGAATGTGTGATGTACAGCATATTGAACATTTACAGATTAGCTAGCTGTTGGAGGTAACATCACACAACCGTAGCTGTCACTGCCAACAACCTCTTTTCCCTTTAATATGCTCTTCTTCCCTTAACTATTTGGCAGGCTGTCTTCCACAAGTAATAATCTGTAATGCCATGTATAAAAATCACAACCGCAGCTATTAGAATAGCTATAATGCAGGATAAAGGCGTGCCTTTACGTGGTACCTCCCTGGTGCCAGTGAAGCAGAATTGCCTTTTTCTTAACAAACCTAGCCATTTTTCTTACATTGAAGTTACGTGTGTCTTGCTGTGTAATTGAAGATGGTGTCTGCCTGATAAAGCAAGCAGCAACTCGCCCAGAGAAAGCCAGGGCTCAGATTGTCTGGTAATCATCACCTGAGATGGTAGAAATAGTAATTCTTATGTCTTACAAGGGAAGGGAGGGGGTTTTCTTTTTTTTTAAATGTCCTTGCAAAAATCGCTGTTCCAGTCACAGGGCATCTCCTACAAATGACTCCTTAGACCTCACCTTGCTTTCTCAGCTGCTAGAAGTGCCCCATCAGCACATTTGTGCATGGTCATACCACAGAACTGCAGCCTCCGTCCTCTGCTAACACAGTCCGTTCTGTCAGTCACGGCATGACTTGCTAAGGATGATAAGTGTCACCCTGTAGCTATGTCTACCCTGCCCTGAGCTCTCACTTCCCTCTCCTTGTGTCATGAATTCTTGGCTGTGGGTTTATTTTTCATCAGTTGTGGAATCCGGGTTTGTGAAGCCCAAATTATGTCAAATCCTGAGGGCCTGTCCTGCTTTTGGAAGGAGACAGAGAAACAAGGAGAGGGCAAAGGGAGGGAGCAGAAATCCCTTTTTCTCTAGATGTGTCATTCTAATATGCTTTATAAACTTGAACTCATGTAGCAGCTTCTTAAACTGTGCCATGTTTGTAGAGCAGCCCCAGCTGGGAGCCTCTCCCAGGCAGGACTGGTGCTATCAAGCTGTGTAATTACAAGCCACTGCAGGGGATGTGAAGTGTCAACAAAATCTCAACACACTTAACTCTCTTCTGTCCTCAATAGCAAATACAGCCACTGGTTACACCACCAGGTTTACCTTAACACAACACAGATCACAGTTTTCCCATTTCTGTTATCCTGGGCTGTTTATAGCAATTAAATTGATTAATGAAAAGCTTAACTTACTTAGAATAAGTATTTGAATGACAGTTGAAGCTTCCATTGCTATTTCACTTCATGGCCCCACTCTGAGGTCTCTGCCCATCACATCACAGCAGTTTGGGAGCTGGACATCAACAGGGGAACTCTTATTCCCATCAGGTTTTGTTTTCTGCCTGTCTGTTCTGAAAGGTGGCTTTACAATCAGCCACCTGAGCTTACCTGTTTGTGTCTCAGTGATTCCCAATCCACTGTGATCACTTTACAATTCAAATGGTGGGGGGGGGTTGTTGCTAACTGCCTGGCTGTGCATGCAGTCCAGCCGGGGAGAGTCTGTGAGTCAGGTTGGGGTGACTCTTTGCCCATCACCCCCAGCAATAAACTATTCTGCAGGCAAACCACTGCCCTCAGTAATGCATGTGTGGCCCCGTAGCTTTTAGGATGCGTGCATAGGGGTTACCAATAGCAAGAATCGGCACCAAGAAAGGAGGTATGGGCTGGATGAATGGACTGTAAGGTGGATAGAAAACTGGCTGGATTGTTGGGCTTAGAGGGTAATAATCAATGGCTCCATGTCTAGTTGGTAGCCGGTATCAAGTGGAGTGCCCCAGGGGTTGGTCCTGGGGCCAGTTTTTTTTAATGTCTTCATCAACGACCTGGAAGATGGCATAGAGTGCACCCTCAACAAGTTTGTAGATGACACCAAGCTGGAGGGAGTAGTAGATACGCTGGAGGGTAGGGCTAGGATTCAGAGTGACCTAGACAAATTGGAGGATTGGGCCAAAAGAAATCTCATGAGGTTCAACAAGGACAAGTTCAAAGACCTGTACTTAGGAGGGAAGAATCCCATGTACAGACTGGGGACTGACTGGCTGGGCAGCAGCTCGATAGAAAATGACCTGGGAGTGACAGTGGACCATAAACTAAATATGAGCCAGCAGCGTGCCTTTTTTGCCAAGAAGGCTAACAGCACACTGGGCTGCACTGGTGTGTTGCCAGCAGGTCAAGGGATGCAATTATTCCCCTCTATTCAGCACTGGTGAGGCCACATCTGGAGTATTGTGTTCAGTTTTGGGCCCCCCACTACAGAAGAGATGTGGACAAATTGAAGAGAGTCCAGTGGAGGGCAGCAAAATGGTGAGGGGCCTGGGGCGCATGACTTCTGAGGAGAAGGAGAGGGACCTGGGTTTGTTTAGTCTAGAGAAGAGAAGACTGAAGGCAGGGTTTAATAGCAGCCTTCAACTTCCTGAAGGGGGGTTTCAAAGAGGATGGAGGTAAACTGTTCTCAGTGGTGACCGATGACAGAACAAGGAGCAATGGTCTCAAGTGGCAGCAAGGGAAGTTTAGGTTAGATATTAGGAAGAATTTTCTCACTAGGAGGGCAGGGAAGCACTGGAACAGGTTACCCGGAGAGGTGGTGGAAGCTCCATACTTGGAGGTTTTTAGACAGCTTTGCCTGAGAAGATCTAGTTGGGGATGGTCCTGCATTGAGCAGGGGGTTGGACTAGATAACCTCCTGAGGTCCCTTCTAACTCTAATTTTCTGTGATTCTATGAAAGGCACTAGCTTAGTCT